TTACTAAGCCTTTTAACTAAATCTTAGTTATATCTTTAACTAGATCTTAGTTATATCTTTAACTAGATCCTAGTTATATCTTTAACTGGATCTTAGTTATATCTGTATAATATTCATAGATATAGGACGCTAGGACTCTAGAGATAGCTGCTGGTGCCTAGAGGCGTTCTCTGGCTCAGATTTGCCAGTTGGCTATAGAAACTCGTCAGTTAGCTATATAAACTTATTAGTTAGCTTTAGATCTAGTTACTAAATATTTATTTATCAGTTAGCTATTAAGTAGTGGTAGGTAGCCCCCCCAGACGATTAGGTATAGGACCCTAGGACCCTAGGGGTGGCTGCTGGTGCCTAGGGGTACCCCCTGGCTTAGATTTGCTAGTTAGCTATATAAACTTGCTAGTTGGCCTTAGATCTAATGCCTAAATATTTATTTGCTAGTTGGTTATTAACTAGTGGTAGGCGGCCCCTAAGCAGTAGGGTATAGGCCTAGGGTAATAGGTGTAGGACGCTAGGATACTAGAACCTTAGAGATGGCTATTAGTAACTAAGGGTGTCCTCTAGTTTAGATTGCCTAGTTAGCTATATAAACTTTCTAGTTAGCCTTGGATCTGGTATCTAAATATTAATTTGCCAGTTGGCTACGGGAACTCGCCAGTTGGCCTTAGATCTAGTATCTAAATATTTATTTGCCAGTTGGCTATTATATAGTAGTATGTAGCCCCCTAGATGATTAGGCGTAGGATGCCGGGACCCTAGAGATGGCTGCCGGTGTCTAGAGGCACCCCCCGGCTTAGATTTGCCAGATAGCTATATAAACTTAGCAGTTTGCTTCGGATCTGATGACTAAATATTTGTTTGCCAGTTAGCTATTAAGTAGTGGTAGGCAGCCCCCTAGACGATTAGGTGTAGGACGCCCGGACCCTAGGGGTGGCCGCCGGGGCCCAGGGGCGTCCCCCGGCTCAGATTTGCCAGTTGCCTACATAAACTCGCCAGTTGGCCATCAAGTAGTGGTAGGCAGCCCCTTAGATAATTAGGTATAGGACGCCCGGACCCTGGGGGTGGCCGCCGGTGTCTAGGGATAGCTGCCGGTGTCTAGGGGTAGCTGCCGGTGTCTAGGGTTAGATTTGCCAGTTAACTATATAAACTTACTATTGGCTACAGTAACTTACTAGTTAGCTTTGGATCTAATGCCTAAATAATTATTTGCCAGTTGGCTATTAAGTAGTGGTAGGCGGCCCCTTAGACGATTAGGTGTAGGACGCCCGGACCCTAGGGGTGGCCGCCGGTGCCCAGGGGCGTCCCCTGGCTCAGATTTGCCAGTTAGCTATGGGAACTCGCCAGTTAGCCTTAGATCTGGTGCCTAAATAACTCTTCTTTCTTTAAGAATATTTTAAATAGTATATAGGCTAGTTATAATTGAACAGTTGTTGCTATACTCTTCACACTATAATCTAGTACTAGGCTACTATTAGGCTACTACTAGGCTACTACTAGGCTAATACTACTAGGCTAATACTATGTTATGGAACACAACGAACCCCGCAGATTACGGGAACTAGCGTGGATATAACGGAAGGATTACGGCCAACCAACTTGGCCCAGAAGACAGGGATCACTATCACGTAACAGTCTCGTGCTACGTGACCCTGAAAGACACAGGATTACGATCACTAACGACTCAACGTTACGTGATCAGCAGGGTAACGCAACAGGCACTTATCGGTAATGAGAAGGAACTTATCAGTGATGAGCCCGGAACAGATCAGCGATGAGACCCGGTCTCATCAAGTGATGAGAAGGGCTAGGTATATAAGGACGCTCGCTCGGCAACATATATTTAGTTCTTCGCGATTAATCAATCTAAGTTACTGTAACATACCTTTCGGATTACTCTTCTAGTTTTACATAAGTAACAAACCTATATAAGTAGGGCAGCTCTATCAGACTGACCTACTTAGCGCCCTATCTGGCATACCCTTTGAAGTTACTCAATAAGACCCGAGTCCGTATAAGGCTTTACACAGCCACAGTACGGTTGCGAGTCGATACTTAAGGCTTTATTGGTGTTTGCTCTTGAGAGGCCGAATCCAGCCCCCTCAGCGCAAATTATTATTCTACTTAATAACAAAAGTAAGTTCTACCAACTGTCTAACTACTAATAGTGCAACCAGCTAGCGAGTGCGTAACACATTGATTGCCCTGTCAACACGAAACTATAAAGTTTAATTATTATATCATCGACTGGCAGCAGCAGAGGCAAGGCACCGGCGCCTGTGCCTCCACAGACTCAATCTCGTTAAGAAGAACCTAACTCTAACGAAGAAAGAGAAAACGAAATTCGACAGCTTAAGTAGGTTATCAAGAACCTCCAGGAGCGATTCGAGAAAATAGGAGAAAGCTTCACTAAACACGCCAAGAGAACCAACAATCACATTAAACAGATTATAGCACAGATTAGCGCTATCCCACCCAACAACGTTATCACCAGCACGCCTAAGCTACCTAAGGCGGATAACTTCGACAGAACTCGCTCTAAGTTGCGAGGATTCCTAATATAGATAAACATACACCTCGACGTAAATAAATTCAAGTTGACCAACGATGCCGATAAAGTCATCTTCGTGTCAACCTACTTACGAGGATAAGTATAGGACTGGCTCGAACTATATGTCCGAGAATACTACAAAAAAGACAGCTCAGAATGGTCGAATACTGCAGTCAACATCTTTTCTAGCTATAACAAATTTAAGGAACACCTGGAAAAGACATTCGGCGATATTGACGCTAAGAAGACGGCTGAACAGAAGCTTAAACGACTCCGACAGACAGCCTCAGCGTTAGCATACACAGCTAAATTCATACAACAAGCAGCAATCCTTAGATAGGATAACTATACATTGATCCCTTACTATAACGAAGGACTTAAGTTGCACATTAAGGACGAGATCGCTAGAGTTAGTAACTTCAACACAATAGACAAACTTATCGATTTTACAGTTCGAATTGACAACCGGTTTTTCGATAGATAAATACAGAAGAAGGAAGTAGAAGGATAGAGGAGAGGCAGTAGACGCCTGACCTATCACCGGTTCTAACCTCAACGACAACAACAACAGTAACCTAACCGGAACAGTAATCCGTATGGTCCATAACCAATAGAGCTTAACGCAGCAAGACTTCCAGACGAAGAACAGAAGCAACAGAAAGACAACAGACTCTGTTTCAACTATAGCAAGCCAGGCCACATATTAAGAGATTATTGCAGTAAGAGAAACGACAAAAAGCCACAGCAGTTATATACAACTCAGGAATGAGAGGCGTACGATACTACCGGAGTAGAAAAAATACAGCAACTCTATACGACTCAGAAAGAAATACAGAATAAGACAAAGAACGTCCTAAGAACACTGTTACAAGACAGACCAACGCCTAAGACAAGTATCCTAAGAAAGGCCACAATATAAGACAATAGACACTATAGGACGAAACCCAAAAACAATACAACAGGAAATACACCAACCCAGGAAAAACAGGTTAGAAAGAGCGTAATTCTACCAGACCAGTAGGCGGCAGGATAGCCACTATTGCGCACCAGTAAACAAAAGGCAGAGCTAGAACCTAATATATAGGGGCTTATAACCTTAGTTGACTCTAAGCTTAAAGAGTACAATAGACAGGAACAGTATCCACAGATTAACCTAGATATAGTAGAAAGTCAAGGGTAGACCTAGTACGTATAGAAACCTATTAACTCCTAGGGACCAATGACAGAAGTCCTAGAAATACCTTAAGAGTCCCTAAGATACAACAAATTCCCTCAGACGATTTAAGAGCTTCTCTGAAGATAGATAACTCTTACTAAGCAGGAAATACAGAAAATCCCAGAAACCCTACCGGAGGACTACTAGATAAGTTACTAAGAGGAGCAAGAATTACAGCAGGTCTACGAAACAGATAGTATAGCCCCTAGAGACCCTTAAAGGATCCTCTTTAACGAATCAGACGACAACGAGCCAGCGCCGTACGTCACTAGTACAGAAGGAATATACCTATGCCACAGAGAAGATTACGCTTATATTAGATATGTACAACACCCAGATCACGACCTCAGAGCCGTAATTAGATACTACAACTACGACTGCAGAACGTATATATAAGGCAAACTAGACTATAGAGAAATTAAACCTAAGCTATTGCAGCGACTATAACGCCTAGAGTAGAGACAATAACTTACAGCATCGGTATAGGGTAAATATATAAAGACAGAAGCTTTAATAAAACTACCCAACGGCACTCTTATCAAAGCACGAGTCATAATAGACTTTGGAGCCGCAGGAAACTTTATAAACCTACGATTTAGCTTAGCCTACGAAGTACTAACTATTAAGAAGGATAAAGTTACACCGCTAGTAGAACTCAACAACAAACCACTAAGCACAGAAATCACGTACCACACCCGATAGATCAGTATAGTCATCGGTAACCACTTAGAATCTATATATTTCGACATTACCAAATTAGTGAGATTCTGGAGTGAAGTTGTGTGTTTTTTGTAGTATCTAGTACATGAAAGGTTATATACATAAGAAAAGCTATCTACGGTAGACGTAACATGCCGTAATGGCACCTTGGGGATCACATCCTCCCCCACCTAGACGAAACTTGTCCTCAAGTTTCTTATTTTCAAAAAGAATTTGCAAAAGGTCGGAATCGAACGGTCGTTGTGTTCGATTTCGGCCGGAACGAATAGTGCCGAGTCGACCCGCGCGTCACGTGCGCGTGTTGTTGACGTCAGGTGCGAATGGCCTCAATCGTGAGCAAACGGGCAGGAGCGGATGGCTTTGTTCACGGAAGGAGCGGCGGCGTGTTGTTGTTGTTGACAAAAGCGCGTCGCCGGCCATTCCGAAACCTCTTCTTCCTTTCATCCATCTCCATCTCGCCATTTCCATCTCACCATCTTCATCTCACTATCGCTTCGAACCATTCTGCGCTTCTCTATCATGGGTAAGTCGCAATCCGGAGCCTCGCTTTGCGCGGCTGTCGCGTTTCGCGCGTCATTGCTGACATTCTTCTGCAGCGAAACCCACCACCCCGTCCACCAAGCGTGGCCTTCCTCCGAAAAGGACCCCCAAAGTCGTCATCGCGTCCAATCGCGTAGATAAACGACGATCTCGCGCGGAAAAGCAATCTTCCGAGCCTGATTCCGAGCCCGATTCCGAGCGAGATGAACTCGCCCTGATCCATCGATCTCGTAGCTCGCGCGCGACGGCGAGCGGATCTCCTATGCCAAAGCGTGGCACGTCGGACACGTTCAGTGAGTTTGTTTGTTTTTCGAGAACGTGTTTGATTGTTTACTAACGCGTCTCCAGGCCGTGCGGGCCTTGACGATGACGACAACCCCGACACAAGCCTGTTCAAGTCCGCCCTGGAGCTTTCCCTGCTCCAAATCGTTCCCGTTCGCAACGTGAACTGGCGACACGGTCCTAAGTCTTGCGGGGCTCCCTCGCAACTCCGCGCTGCGTACGTGCAGCGTATCGGTCATGAACTTCCTGCGCGCGACTGCTGCAAGAAGTGCGTGAATCAGGACGGGCCTTTTGGTTCCTGCGTCGTTGCGGTCGTCAACAAGCGACCTGTTTTCGACGGTGCGTGCGCAAACTGCGCGTACGGCGCCGGCCAGTCACGCTGTTCGTTCCGCGCCGAGGCGGACGGTTTTCCCCGCTTCCTCATCGACGTGCTTCGTGAGGAAAACCCTGGCCATCCTGCGGTGAAGGCGTTCGCCGCTGAGCGCGCTATCTCGGCTGCTCACGATACTTCGCTTGCTGAAGCCGCTCCGCTTGCTCCGGCCGCTCCGGTTGCATCTGCCAGCCCTAGCACCCCTGGGTACGGCTTTGCTCGAACTCCGGTCGTTTCGCCTGCGCGTGCCCAAGCACCCACTGTCTTCTCGCGTCCTTCTGCGTCTGGCTCTGCCTTGGTCGAGAGCTTTTACTCTTCGGCGCTGACCGATCCTTGCTTTTCGGTCTCCCTTGACCAGGCCGACTGGCCTCGCTTCCGCGCGATTCATGAGCGTCTCGACCTGGATCTGGAGAGACTCGTCCACGATCGTGGACGTCTTCGCGCTCTTCTTGTCGAGCACGGCCAACTGCAACCTACTGAGGTTGCCAAACCCGGAAACATCTTCGGGTTGTGAGCGCTCTCGCTCGTATGTTTCCTTGAGGAGTTTTAATGGCGTTTTCATTCAATCCTGCGGGATCTCATTCATATGCCATAGTTTCCTCAATCTCAATTCAGAATACTTCTAGTGTCTTCCAGTTCTTTTTGTAGGAATAACAACAGCTAGAGGTCCTTCGAACAATATTCGCTTAGCTGCGTCAGCGTCCTGACCGCCTTGAATATCTTCCGCCGGAGCAGATTGCTCCCCTGCGGGCTCACAAAGAGAGGAATCTTCTCGATCTTTGTTATGAAGGGAGCTATCTCGACCTTCGTCCGACAACGAATTGTCGCTTTCTGAAGCTTCTGACTGGATTTCCTCCCAGTCCTTTTTATTTCTGCGCGGAAGACTTCTGTTCTTCTCAATAACGCGCAACGCGATCGCATCCTCTCCCTACCTTCTCGTGACGCGCACCGTTGCGTCTAAGTTCATCCCATTCTTCTCGAGTGAACGTAGATAAATCCGAGTATGTAGGAGGGGAATCTTCTTTTTCAAGGATCTTCTGCAGCTCCTCGGGTCGCCTTAAGCGAATCCCGGCCCGCCTCATAGCGTTTCTTGCTGCCGGTGACGTCCACAATCGTGTGGGGTTCGTCACATTTGCTTCCAGAAGTCGAGATCCATTGATAAGATTCCTTAGTACGCGGCCATTTGGCTCTTCGAGAGCGTACGTCCCAAGTGGATGGCTTTCGAGGACCCGATACGGTCCGAACCACTTGCTTTCAAACTTTTTGCCATTTTCGTTTCTGACGAGAACCCAAGCGCCCTTCTGAAAGCTTGTTTTCGTGACTAGACTGTCACGGACCCGATTCGTCCGGATTGCACGCACTAGGAGGAGTTCATTCGCTTTTGTTCTTGCATCCTGCACATGTTCCAACTCAACCTTACGACTGCTGAATGGCTGAGGGAGTTCTGAATCGTCGCTGGGTAATCGTGGATGCATTCCATACACAAGGTAGTAGGGGCTAAAACCTGTATTTGCGTGTTGATGATAACGCGCGGCTACTGTTGCAGTCGACAGATATAAGTCCCACGCCTTTGTCGGTTTATTTATGAGATATTTCGTGAGCATTCGACCGATTAAACCGTTGAAGTTTTCGACCTTGCCGTTTGTTCGCGGGTGATAAGGGGTCGTTGTCTTATGCTTTGTCTGCATGAGTTTTAAGTAGTGTGCAACTACACCCGACATAAAACTTGTGCCTTGATCCGATATAAGCTCTATCGGAGCGCCATAATCTGCAAAGATTCGATCATGAAGGAACTGTCCGACGGTCTCTTCATCTGCTTTTGGAACGGCCTGCGTAACTGGCCACCCAGTCGCGTAATCAATAGCAGTGATAATCCATCGGTTACCGTTCGGTGTCGTCGGTAATCGACCGATAAAGTCAATCCCCCATCTCTGGAACGGGCGAATTCCTGCAGTTACCATGTGCTGCGCTGTCTCTCGTTCCAACGACTTTCTTGAACCTTGCGAAACCTGACATTCGGGGCAGTTCTTGGATGTTTGCTCAATATCGTATCTTATTTGCGGCCACTAACCTCGCGGTTTGACTACTCCATTCAGGCCTGGATAGCCTAAATGACCGAATTCCTTGTGTACCCAATGCAACAGGTCTCCACGGAAGGCTTGCTCTATAAACGGTACACAGAGCCCATCCTCGTGGGCAAAGACTAGTACACGCTCTCCCGCATCTTTGCTATCGCGTAAGCTTAGGTTCGGAGCGAACCTAGCGACAGCCCTTGCAGTGAGTTTATTATTCGGCAGCTTCTGGCCTTCCAGAAAGCGTACGGTAGCATCGTACCATTCTTCTTCGGGGACTTGCATGACAGTTCGAGAGTATTCGACTGCCTCAGTTATATTAAGAGCGACGTCCCACACCGGTCGGGATTTCGATACGTTCGCAGGACCGTCTTCAATAAAATCCGGTCTCCTACTCAGCGCATCAGGGACTACTGCGTCCGATCCCTTCCGATACTGAATCTTCAGATCGTACTCTTGAAACTCTTCGACCCAACGCGCTAGCCGTTTGCTGTAGACGACTGTCGTCTGAAGATATTGCAAACTCGCGTGGTCGGTAACAATCGTGGTTGTCGTGCCATTCTCGATATATTGATCCTATTTTCGGAGGGCCTCTTTGATAGCGAGAAGTTCCTTCTCGTGAACCGGATAGTTCAGTTCCGCACCTGTTAGTTTCCGGCCGTCAAAGGCAACAGGGTGTAGGATCCTATCTTCGCCTAGCTGGAGCAATACCATCCCAATCGCCCATTCAGACGCATCAGTTTCGATAATAAATGGCTTGCTACGATCAGCCTGGATCAATACAGGGGCATCAACCAGCGCATTCTTAAGTGTTCGGAAGGCACTTTCACACGCAATCGTCCAAGCGACAGGCCTAAACTTCTGCTTTCGTAGGTCCGCGTCCGTTTCCTTGAATAGTTCATGAAGAGGCACACAAATTTGCGCGAATCCACGAATAAACCTTCGGTAATAGGTGGCTAAGCCGACAAACTGGCGAACTTCGTGAACGTTTCTTGGGCGTGGCCAGGTTCGAATGATTTCGACCTTCCCCGGTACTGGACGAATCTGTCCATTTCCGATAATATGGCCACAGAATTCTAATTCCGTGACTGCAATCGAGCATTTCGCAGGCTGAGCGATCAATTGCTCCTTTCCGAGTGCCTCTAGGACTTTATCAAGGTGCCCGTAATGCTCCTCCAGCGTATCTGAGTAGATCAGGATATCATCGAGATAGACAATAGCAAACTTGCCTAAGAACAGACGTAACGTCTCGTTCATAGTCGTCTGGAATGTTGCTGGAGCGTTACACAGGCCAAAGGGCATGGCAAGCCACTCGTATTTTCCCCATATTGTGTTAAAAGCCGTCTTTTCGACTGAGTCCTGATCCATTCGAATCTGCCAATATCCGGCTGCGAGATCAATCTTGGTCAGGAACTTTGCCGTTCCAACACGGTCCAAGAGATCCTGGATTTGTGGCAATGGGTAACCATTCTTGGCTGTTAGGTTATTCAAGGCTCGATAGTCGATACACATTCGCCAGGTACCGTTTGGTTTCTTTACGAAGATAACCGGGAAGCCCCACGCGCTTGCAGAGGGTCGGATCAATCCTTTCTTTAGTAGGTCCTCAACCTGACGCATCTGCTCTTGGAGCTTCTCGTCCGATAGCGGATAGCTATTGACGTTAACTGGCTTAGCATCACCAGTGTGAATAGTGTGAGATATTGCACGTTCTGGCGGAAGCTCGTCCGGAAGCGCATCTCGAAAGACTTTAGAGTGATTCCGCAAGACCTCCATAACCTTCGGATCGTGATGGGTCGGAATACACTCAATCTGTTCAGCTTTGGTCGGTTTGTCTTGTGGCCGTAAAACAAATAATGCAGCCTCAGTACCTCTCTTGCGTATAGCTCTATTAGCTTGCTTTGCTGACAGGAGGTTAAAGCAGGCGTCATCACACGATAGGGTGATTCTGGATCCAACCGATTCGATTATATGGGTTCCTTGATGGTCACGTATCTTCATCCGTGAGCTTACCCAGTCGATCGAAGGGTTTACCGAGCGTAGGAAGTCTCTTCCTAAAATAAACTCATAGTCTGGCAGGTCCAGTATCCACGCAGTAACTATACCACGCCAGGAACCTAGAGCGAGCGGGATCTGGATGGATGTATCCGTGACCAATCGGCCACTATCAGGCATCTTCACGCGCAGCTCCTGACTATTTCTCTTGGCTGAGCCTAGATTCGGACTGTTCTGTAGGGTCTCGCGTGAGATAAACGTATGAGACGCCCTGTAATCGAGCAAAGCCTTAACGCGCGCACCCGCGCCATGCTTGCCTAGCGCTGCCCTATAGAAGAGTAAAGAATCTCCCATTGCGAGTAACTGCGCGGAGATAACTGATCCTTTTGTATCAGTATCTGATCGCTTTGACACAGACGCTAACGGGTCTAGAGGATCGTCCGGCAGTTGAACTGTTGAAGCCTTCTTTATTCGACTAACAAGCGCTTCGATATTGCTAGTCCGATCTAGTTTTCCGCCGGTTTAGCTTGCGGACAGTCTCTTTTGAAGTGTCCTGATCGTCCGTAGCCAAAACAGGCGTCTCTCAGGGTCTTTTTCGGACGGCGGTTTCGCGAACGGCCAGAGGTGGTCGGCATTGCACTTAGATCCATTGGATCTCCTTGGTCCTGTATGGCACCTCTGATACGGGTACCACGCATATTGCCTCGTTTGTATGCAATAAACCGGTCGATAATATCCCTGAGAGCTTTCGGTTGCTCGCGGTCCATTTCCCATTCTTGCTGGAGATATGGCTTCGCGCCGGTGATAATGAACTGGGTCAGAATATCCTTATGAATCTGCATATCTTCGCAGTTTGCTGCGGCAGCACTCTTATTTGTAGCGTATTCGTTGAATAACTGATGATCTCCCTGACGCATGGTTGCGAAGCGTTCCCATTTCCGTGTCTTTCCGAGGTGTTTACCAAATGCTTGCAGGATCTATGCTTTGAACTGGGGCCACGTTCTGATTTCGTCTTGGAACGATAACGCACATTGACGGCGGTGCGTCTCCCATTGTTCATTTGCTCTTTTCACCAGGGCTCTACGCGCGTGCGCAACCTTATCATCATCATTAAGTTTGACGCCAGCGAAACGGGCTGTTTCTGCAAAAAAACGTTCGCAATTAAGAAGGAACTTCTGGGCAGCGTCGTACTGAACCGTTCTATGATAGTCCCGGATTCCCTTGACTTGTTTCAGCAAAGCTTTCTTTACTTCTCGGTGTGCTCGAACTTGATCATCTACTTCCGATCGAACAGGAGTTAGAATGCTAGCTGGCGTAACAGAAGGGGTAGCGACCGGAACGGATCGCGTAGCTTCTCTAGCGGCAGCGGCAGTAGCTTCTATTCGAGCTTGTTCGATTCCTTCTCGATATATCCGTTTATGTTCTCTCAACATCTGGAGATGCCCTTGCGCATCTGGTCCATTGAGAAGGCCCCGATAGTTGTCGCTTATTTGCGTCGGCAGAGTCGACAAGATTCGCTCTGTACCAGGCGAGAGCGGACGGGGGGTAGGGGTATCGGTTAGCATTTTTTTGGATATCGAGGCGGTTTCTTGGAGGGAAGGCAGCGTATGATTTCGGACAGTTTCGGTCTGATCCGTTTATTATTCACACTTTTCCTTTTTGTTTTCTTTTACTTCCGTACTTCGGACTATGTCCGGAGTATTCTCGTCGGAAGGATACTTTTCTCGGGATGACTCGGGTAATTAGGGCCAGTAATAATGGCTAATCCCTACCTATCTGTTGTTGATCGTGCAGATCCTCTCTTAGCTTCTTAAAATCACGCGGCCTAATGTGACGTGGCCCTCTTCCTGTGCCGGAATTGCGCGATTTTCCTGAGAACTGGGGGTCTTCTGCGTCTCCTATCTGAATGAACTCGAATGGTTTTAATTCAGGGGTTTCGCAGCTTTACGAGGGGAATTCTAACAGTACGATAGTAGTCGTCCGTACACTCCGTCTAATCTCGTCATTGTTTTCAGGACGATTTTAATCAGAAGTGTACTCTTTCTCAGAGATAAGTCTTCTTACGAATAGCCATAAAAGGCCCATTCGGTTTCGGATATGCTACTACATAAGATTCTGGAGTGAAGTTGTGTGTTTTTTGTAGTATCTAGTATATGAAAGGTTATATATATAAGAAAAGCTATCTACGGTAGACGTAATATGCCGTAATGGTACCTTAGGGATTATATTAGGACAATACAACGTAATTATTAGTATACTATAGCTACGAAAGCACGGTCTAAGAATCAACTAGCAAAGGGATAAGATCTACTTCGACTACTGCAAATATCTAAAGACAGCAGATATATAGACAGAAAAAGAACTACTAAGTATTGAAGAACCTAGCCCCGGGACAGTAGGTACCTATTGCGACCCGTACGAAGGTAAACTTAAATAGAGTCAGCGGCCTAGAGGTAGGGTATTAGAAAGAATTATAGATATTAACGTTCTTGTAACAACGGAATAGGGACCCGATATATCGGACGACAAACTCAGAGAATATATTATAATACATTATAAATTATAATAAGCCCTCTGCACAACAGAAGAAGAAACACAGATACCTATAGAGTACTAAGAGTACTAGGATATATTTAAGGTACTAGCAGATAGTATACTCCCAGAGTATAGTCTGTTTAACCATAAGATTAGGATTAAGGAAGGTAAGGAGCCGACCTTCAGACTAATCTACTAACTATTACCATTAGAATCAGAAACCCTAAGAGGATACATTAAAGAGAATCTCAGGAAGGGATACATCCAGAAATCGTTATCATCAGCCGGATATCCGATTATCTTTGTAGGTAAGAAGGATAGAAGTCTTTAACTTTATATAGATTATCAGTATTTAAATAAGATTACTATCAAAGATCGACATCTGTTACCCCTTATCTAGGAAATACAGGATTACATTCAAGGAAGTATTTACTTTACCAAATACAACATTACCAACGTATACAACCGCCTTAGGATTAAGGCAGGCAATAAGTAGAAAATAGTGTTCAGAACAAAATACAGATATTTTAAGTATACAGTTATGCTATTTAGACTTACAAACGTACCTATAGTATTTTAACGATTTATCTTCAGCGTATTAGAAGAATACTTAGATATCTTTATAATAGCATACCTCAACAATATCCTAGTGTTCTCCAAAACTATAGAAGATTACGTACAACATAATAAGAAAGTACTACAGAAGCTTAGAGAAGCTAAGGTTATACTTAAACTTAAGAAGTATAAATTCTACGTTAAGGAAACAGATTTCCTAGGATACGTAATTAGTAATAAAGGATTTAGTATACAAGAAGACAAAATTAGGAGTATTCTAGATTAGCCGATACCTAAAAACGTAAAAGAAGTTCAACAGTTTCTAGGGTTGTGTAACTACTACCGACGTTTAATTAATAGGTTCGGAAAAGTTATAGTAGACCTTAATAAATTAACAAAGAAAGACCAAAAGTAGGTCTAGGATGACTAATCAGAAAATTTATTTAATAAACTCAAGAAATTATTTGTTAAACGAATAATCTTCGCACCAGCAGATCTAAATAAGCTATATACAGTAGAAACCGATATATTAGACTATATACTTAGAGCATAACTTACTCAACCAGAGGATAACGGGAAACCCTAACCAGTTGTATTCTAGTCCAGAAAAATAATACCCGCAGAAATTAACTATAACATCTACGATAAAGAGCTGCTAGCTATAGTATTAGTACTCAAGATCTAGAGGGTATACCTAGAAGAAGTAAGCCACTAAGTTCTTATAAAATCAGATTATAAGAACCTTACCTTCTTTACCAGCACAAAAGAACTAACCCGACGACAAGTATAATAGACAGAAACCTTAGTAAGATATAATTATAGGATTAAACATTGCCTAGGTACGGCCAATAGCCAGACAGATATACTTAGCAGAAGACCTAACTATGCAATAGGGGTTAAGGAAGCCGTTCCGGCCATACTTAAGATAAACAAAGACGGCCATCTAGTGTATAATTACTAGATCCTAGCCGCTACCAGCGAGATCTAAGACAATAATTAGCTTAAAAGATTAAAAGAAAGTCTTAGCAATAATCTAATTATAGGAAAAGAAATAGATAGGGACTATATCAGAAACAATAATAGATTAATCTATATCCTACAGCAACTTTAAGACAAAGCAATACAACGAAACTACAACAACCTAGCACATAGATATATAGGAGTAGAAAAAACAGTAGAACACCTATCGAGGAACTACTATATCCTAAGCATATATAGAAAGGTTAGAAAATATATTAAACAATATAACATATATCAGCGAAACAAACCATTACAATACACCCTATATAGTAAATTACAGAACTTAGAGATTCTGACAAAACTATAGGAGTAGATTACGATTAACTTTATTACTAAACTACCTAAGTTAGACAGACACAATATAATTATAGTAGTTATAGATCAATTAACAAAGTATTTATATATAATACTAATAACAGAAATAATCAACGCCAAAACTATAGTATTTCTATTGTTCAGATATATATTCGCTAATTATAGAATACCTCAGAAGATAATATTAGACAGAGATAAGCTCTTTATAAGTAAGATATAGTAATTATTTGCAGATTTAGTAGGCATTAAGTATAGACTCTCTACCGCCTATTATCCACAAACGAACGGCTAGACAGAATAAACAAACTAAACCTTAGAACAGTACCTAAGGCACTACGTAAACTACTAGCAAAATAACTAGGCAGGACTGTTACTACTAGCATAATTTACGTACAACAACGCTATACATACAATAACAAAAGAAACTCTATTCTTTGTAAACTATAGGTATAATCCCTTAATCATCAGAGAAACTATCAGAAAACAAACAGAGGCAGAAGTATTGCGGCTTCTAGCCACAGAACTTAAGCAACTATATCTCTAACTGGCTAGAGACATTAAGTTTTTTAATCTACAGATAAAACACTACTACAACCAAGGCTACCAGGAGGGACCTAACTTTAAAAAGAGAAAAAAGGTATACCTCCTACGTCAAAATATCAAAACTAAGCAACTAAGCTCAAAACTCAACTACTTAAAACTAGGACTATTTAAAATCAAAGAAAAAATAGGACTAGTTAATTATCACTTAAAGCTACCGGAAAGCATAAAGAAAATATACCTAACGTTCTATATTTCGTTACTAGAACCCGTACCAGAAAATACACTAGATACTACTAATATTAAAATCAACAAAATCAGTAAGGAAGAATATAAGGTTAAGGAGATCCTATAAGACAGATAGCATAATAATTAGCAATAGCTACTTATGAAATAGAAAGGATACCCTACCTCAGAGAACATATAGGAACCTATCAAGAATTTAAGGGACTGCCACCAGCTGGTTCAACAGTATTACTATAAGGTAAAGAAGATACCACAGGGACAGGAACGAAGAAGGTATCCAGGTCGTCCTAGAAAGTAGACAACGACAGATCGGTCGACGTAATTATCTGTATCAGACTAGGATCATCGGACGTTGCCGTAAGAATCTGACAATTCGCATCAAAGATACGTTGGTTACTCTCAGAAGCAGTATAAGAAGGCCCGGCCTTATATTCTTTTTGCTTACTCTCAATACGCTCTTTTTCAAGACAATCTTTCTCTTTAGCTTCGCGACGCTTAAGCTTCTCTAGCTCAGCGATCTCCTTATAGTTATGAGCGATAAAATCGCCAGCACGTTTTTAAAGCAACCGTTTTTACTTTCAGAGATAAAGAAGTTTGGCCAGGATTACCTCCTTCTCTTTCTCTAAAGAATTTTGTAACTTTACTAATCGATGCCATTCGGCATCAGTAAAAGTAGGATTTGATATCTCACACTTTATACTACCACCACCCTTTACATAATTACCACAACGGTCGGAACAGTCGGTGCAGATACAGACTTACTTAAGGCGAACGCAACGGTCGTAGGGGACAACAGACTGGTAACTCTCTTCAGAGATACGCTTGACTAACTAGTTCTTGCAGACGGACGACTTCGCTAAAGACATAACGACAGTGGTTAGAAAAATAAAAATAAGAAAAACAAACACTAGGGGGAACTTACAGGTTTAAGAACCTTTAGGGACTAAAGGGCTAAAAGGAGGGAGTAATATTATAGAATACAACGAACCCTGTAGATTACAGGAACTAGCGTAGATATAACAGAAGGATTACGGCCAACTAACTTAGCCCAGAAGACAGGGATCACTATCACATAACAGTCTCGTGCTACGTAACCCTAAAAGACACAGGATTACGATCACTAACGACTCAACGTTACGTAATCAGTAGGGTAACGCAACAGATACTCATCGGTAATAAGAAGGAACTTATTAGTAATAAGCCCGGAACAGATTAACGTAGTTCCCGGCCGATCTGGACACCCGGCCGTCCTGGACACCCACCCCCATGATAAAATGTTAAAATAGGATATCGCAACCAAAACGCATTAATTAATCCTAAACTAGCGATTTTTTACATTGATTGATCTTATGCCCAATCTTCCCGCATCCACTACATGTAGGCAGGGCCCTCTTGCGTGGCTGATCCTGCTGAGTAGGTAAATTGTCCTGCATATGCGATACTACCTCATCAGCTTCTACAGGCTTAATTGGCTGCTGAGCTAGATGTAGGCCCTCTTCAACCGATAGACCCCCCTTCGTGAGCGATCTGCCTAGTCGATCGAGTGCGCTTTTGACGTTTCTTTTCATTCGCTGCACGTAGATCGGAGTTCTCCTTTGCTAGTAGCGCAGTGTTGTGTAGCGCTATACAGTGGCCCTTGATAATCTGATCAAGCATGATTTTTGATGGTGTAGGCGGGCTGTGTGATCGCTGCTTTAATAGCTCTTTAAGCATAGAAGCTTGCTTTTCTAGCTGAATCGCTGTTCTAGGCGTTTTTGGTGTAAATTGGCTAGATCTGCTGTTTGGTCTGCTGCTAGGTGGTGTGGGTGTTCGGATAGAGATATTAAGCGTAGAAAGCACTCTTTCTGCATTAACTGGTACTATACCAGAAGCTGCGAAGCTGCTTTGTACGATATTTAGCTGGAAAGCTTCTAATCGTGCGCGAGGATAATCTGCTAGAAAATCAAGCTTGTCGATATGATTATAGCCAGTTCGGGCTAAATCGCTCACAAATCGACCGTATGTACGCTTCAAAACAGCGAAACACCCAACATCAAGCGGTTGTAGTAGATGCGATGAATGCGAAGGCATACAGAGTGGTATAATATCGTTTTCAGCACATATTCGATCGAACTGAGGCGTTAGATGGCTACCATGTCCGTCAAGGATTAATAGCCGAAATCGTCCTCGTGTACGTAAAGTCGTATATAGAATAAACAGCTTTTGCAGCCAGCGTAAACCGATTTCATCAGTAGTCCAACCGTTATTCGATACCTCAATCCGCCAATCCTTAGGTAGATTCGTTTCAAACCAACCAGCAATATAAACCTGGCCCTTGAATATAATACACGGTGGGAGCGAATACCCATCAGCGCATATCGTCTCAATCGCAGTAACCCATTCACGATTTCCCGGTTGTAATAGTGATGCCCGACCGTAGTAATCAGCTCGTGTAATAACCTTCTGCGCTGATATAAGGCCCATTGCGAATCCGGTCTCGTCGAAGTTATAGATATCCTCCGGTTGGATACCGTTCTCCTCGATCGTACGTTGCACCATCGAAAACCACTCTAGTATCGCTTTAGGATCCTCGTTGAGTGCGCGCTGGTAATCGTATCGTCTAGAAAAACGCGACCGAAGCTCCTTACGTCTTTGAACGAACGAAGATGGCCAGTTTTTACCAACAGTAGATGGAAGAGTATCACCACGCGCAGCTAGTAGAATATTGGCCATATTGCGTACAGTAGAGGGCCTGGGAGCTGCTCCATGTGTATCCATAGAGATAATCCATTCAGTAAGCGAATCCTCTTTGTTTTGGGTCAATTTATGGCCTGATGGACGTTTATCGACGCGTGGGAGTTGACCGTGGGCATGCGTATGTAGTGTGGAGAGAGGAACTTGGTAGAGCTTTGCGGCTGCGCGAAGGGATTTAATACGGCCATCTTTGATATCGGAAAGGGCCAATAAGATCTTTCCCTCCTGATTCGCCAATTTCTGCGAGGATTCAGTGCGAATTGGTGGCATAGTAGGTAGTTGAATTAGGTAGGGTAGTAAGAAGTGGCGGTTTTGGATGGGGTGTCCAGGACGGCCGGGTGTCCAGATCGGCCGGGAACTATGTTAGCGATAAGACCCGGTCTTATTAAGTAATAAGAAGGGCTAGGTATATAAGGACGCTCGCTCGGCAATATATATTTAGTTCTTCGCGATTAATTAATCTAAGTTACTGTAACATACCTTTCGGATTACTCTTCTAGTTTTACATAAGTAACAAACCTATATAAGTAGGGGAGCTCTATCAGACTGACCTACTTAGCGCCCTATCTGGCATACCCTTCAAAGTTACTCAACAAGACCCGAGTCTGTGTAAGGCTTTGTACAGCTACGGTACGGTTGCAAGTCGATACTTAAGGCTTTATTGGTGTTTGCTCTTGAGAGGCCGAATCCAGCCCCCTCAGCGCAAATCGTTATTCTACTTGATAACAAAAGTAAGTTCTACCAACTGTCCAACTACTAATAGTGCGACTAGCTAGTGAGTGCGTAATATACTACTAGGCTACTATCTACTATTTTAAAGAGATTAGGCTAATTACCTGTATCTAAATTAATTAATCTACTACCCTACTACCTAATCTATCTACTCACTATAGCTATGGAGATCTCCATAACCACTAGCAAAGCAGTAGAAAATCTACGCTGTACCTACTATCTCAGTATCTAATTTCTAAAGAGGCTCTTAGAAGGTTTTAGGCTTCTATACCTCAGGCAGCTATTCCTTACTAAAATAAGGCTTACCTAAGCCTGGCTGCTTAGTAAACAATAGATGGCAGGCGGTCCAAAAGCATAGTAGTAGCCTAGGGGCTTGGCATAATTTTCTCTTATCGGTAAGTAGAGGGCCCTTACAGAGCCTAGTAGGTAGATAGTACCTAAAGCAGCAGCTATCTGCCTGAGGGTTTAGGCTATCCTCTAGCTGCTGTATATACTGCTGAATATCCACTCTTTGGTAAAGAGGACAAACAGTAAGTGTATGCCTAAGGTCTGGCCTAGGCCCTCGAACTTCACTTCCTATATAATAGATTAGTATAATAGATAGATAGATAGATAGATAGATAGATAGGTAGGTAGGTAGGTAGGTAGTAGGGTAGTAGGGTAGTAGGGTAGCAGGGTAGTAGGGTAGTAGGGTAGTAGGGAAGTAGGGAAGTAGGCTTACCTAGCCACGCAATAAAGCAGATAAGACACTGCTCGTTTATCCAGAAACGAATAGCCCTTGGTAGTAGCTCACTACCCTTCCAATTCTGCCGATGGGTCTGGTATACTCTATCTACCACTGCTGATTAGGTAGCTAGACGGTCAGCGCAGAGATCACACTGCGCCCAGGCAGGGTCATATGATTCTAGGGCCTCTGAATCAAAAACCCTAGAGATTATCCGCTGCGGCAGATCTGTTCTAGTAGATAGCTTTGGAAGTAGGCCTTCTCTGCTGTCTGAGGTACTGAGCTAGCCTGAGGCTGCTGTAGCTAGTAAGGTTGTACTAGGCAGTAAGACTACGCTAGACTATCAGATGATCTACCAGCTCTACCAGATTCCTGTATAAAATTAGTCATCTCATAGGCACCAGGTAGGAAGTGGATAACAAGATTAACATTAGGAAAATCGTAACCAGCCCCTACTCTACTAGTAGCTAATAGGATAGGGGTTCCTGCCCTAAAGCTTCCTAGCTGGCTTAGCTTATCCTTATCAGATAGCCCAGAGTGGAATCTAGCTGCCTGAGGCTGTAAGGAATCAAATAGCCTATTAACCAGCTTTTTAGTACGGCAGAAGACTACTATCTTTGCAGTAGCCCTAGGGCCAAAGGGACCATTGGTAGCCTCAAATTCCTTAACAAACTGGCTAATATAGCTAGGATATCTAGCCTTATCTAGCCTAGTAGGTAGGGTTTAGACCCTATAGGCCATCTGTGTCAAGAGTAGGCTAGCCCTAAGGGTATAGGGCTGATTACCTAGCTGAAGTATATCAATAAGCTTAGTCTGCAGATAGTTTGGTAGAGTAGCTGAAGCAAAGACCATAGGAACCCTAAGGGCTAGGGCATGCCAGGCACGCTTTATAATCGGCCGATAGCTCTGGGATAGAGGAATCAGGTGATATTCATCCCAAATCAGCCTAGCTAGTCTTCTTTGGGTAATTAGAGTACTAGCTAGATCTAGGAACCTTAGGTGAATCATATACTCAATTTAGACTAAAAGGATCCTACACCTACTAGGCAGAGAGTATAGTAAAGGCGACTAAGCAGTAGGCCCTAGGCCTAAGGTATCTGTCTTCCCTAATAGATCTAGCTTTAAAGAGATTAGTGGGATAACGATGATAGTAACCTGGTTCGTAAAGAGACTAGCCCCAAATAGAAATAGTGTAGTCTTCCCTGCAGCAGTAGGTAGGATCAAGAAGAGATAGGGTATCTGCTTCATCATCAGATAAAAAGCCTCTTGCTGCTTAGAGCTTCGGAAGGTAGCCTGTTGATTACTAAGAAACTCCCGAAGTAGCTGGGTCAGAATACCTATATCTACCTGGCTACTAGCTATCAAGGGTATATAGCTAGGTAGCTAGATCGGCTGTTTAGTAGCTGCCTGAGGTACCCTATATAGGCTCATAAATTCATTAAATTAACTAATCGAGACCCTATCAGTAGGGCGGTTAATACCAGAGCGGGTAGGATAGTAGAATTCAACTACTGGACGGTCTAGTAGTAGCTTGAGAGCTATAGGGGCCTTAGGCTCCTGAGACAGAATAAGGTCTACTTCTGCCTTAGGGATTAGGCGTAGGCGGTTATAGAAGAGAGACCCTAGGACTAGCTGATCAGGCGCTATACCAAGATAGGTATGCCACTGCTGGCTAAAGCTAATTAGGGCAGACTGAATATCTGCCCTAACGCCCTAGAAGCTAGTTAGGGTTCTACTATAGACAGCTAGGCCTATAGCCCTACTATGATTCATCTGATCTGCCCCTAGGCCCTTATAGTTAATCTTATCAATAGTAGGATCTTCTAGGGTATCTGATAGGCCTAGGCTATACCTAGACATCGCCAGAACCCATGTTAACCATGACCCAACCTAACCTAACCTAGCCCAAAATAGGTTTTAGGTCCAATTCTATAACCTATTGATAGGTTTTAGGTTGAGACCCTTAACCTAAAACCTATGTGGGAACCTACTGGGTCCCTATTTTAGTGTAAATAGCGTAAATATGCTAAGCTTACATAACTTCTAGAATTATAAAATTCCTGCTCGTAATTTGAGGTATAAGTTTACCATCCTAAGGTGTTGAATGCTTTATATTTATTAGATATCATATTATAAACTTATTATCCTAATAAATAAATTACAACTTAAGAGCTAGCAGATTATAATAATTTAATTATAAGATAGTGAATTTGATTACTAGTAAACCTTAAAGATATTATTAGTCCGAGCCTTTTGCTTTTGTCCTGAGTAACGAGGTTATAATAGCAGTAGAGACTATGTTGGCTGTAGCTCCTTATAATTATAACTATCTAAGCTAGGTATTTTCTCTCTCTCCTTAGGATCTACTATATCTTCCTCCTTATAATTACTAATACTATCTATCTCAACCTTAACCTCCTCTAGATACTCTATATTAAGTTCTCGGACTGCCTTAATCTCCTATAGGAAAAAGTACTGCTCTAGCTCCTTTGTCTCTGCTTCTTTAAGATTAAATCGTATCGAACAAAGAAACAACATATGTTCCTTAATTATTTCAGAGTTTATACAGCTACGTCGGTAATAACAGATATTATGTATAGTATTAAAAAGCCGTTTAATACCTATACCGGTTGCTAGAATAGAGAGTATATCTTAAGTAAGCTGTACGATCACAGGAAAACGGGATTAATTCTTACGCTAGTATTGTAGTGGCTTAATCTTAATTAGATCTAGATAGTAGATATTAGTATATAGTATTATGAATAAATATTGAGAAGAGATTACATACCACCGTCTAGATACTAGCTTACTTCGTCGTCTGTAGGCTTTATAGCTCTTTGATTACTACTCAACATCTTACTTAGCCGTAAAGTAGATATAGGCTAAGTCTAAGGATTAGAAGTAGATTGGTTATCTAAGAGACGGGTCTAGTATAGAGATAATGCTGTCTAGAATAATCTTCGGTACCTTATCCGCTACTTATAATCCTAGTCTTCTGAGAGAAAGAAGTAAAATCGGCTATTAGGTACTAGCATTATACTAACAGTAAAGGTATACCCTTGTATATAGTCTGTCTGTATATAATAAATACAAAGTTTGTCATAACCAGTATCTAAAGCTGTTAATATTTACTGCTTCTATAGAATACGCTTACGTTTAAGCTGCTTTTTTGTCTATTCTAAATGATTAAAGAGTGCATTGTAGAGCTTAAAGATAAGATAAGTTATAATATCCTTTGTTTTTGATAGCTTAGTAGTATAGTCAAAGAATGGCTAAGTTATACAAAGTAGATAGTTAATTTGTCGCTACTTATCATTAGTCAAGAGTATCTCTGTATAATTATATTCCTTACAGAAAGGCTTAAATAATAGGCGAATTTGCTTAGCCCGGCGAAGCATTAAGAAGGTAGAGTTCTAACGGGTCTTAATATCTTAAATAGGTACTAGTTAAGGTTCTTTTGGTTAGAGTTAAAGAAAGGTCTTACGACGTTAAGGACTGGTATTAACGTATATAGCCAGATATTAAATCTTATTGAGTATTGCTATAATACTGTAGTTCTAGGTATTCTTTTTTGCTGCAGCAGAATACTGCTCAGTCTATCTAGTCTTAGTATCCTTATTCTGAGGAGATACCTTTAGTTTCCTAAGAAGCTTATTTAAACTCAGCTGGATAACGTATGTAAGACAGAGAATCCGGATAATAGTTATATTAGGTAGCAGACTCTGCTAAAGGGCCTTAATCATTGTTTTGTTATTTATTACGTTGTCGGTGGTAATTCTATAAATCTGATCTTTAATCTGATATTGCTCCAGAATCTGAAGAATAATTTAGCTCAGATTAGAACCGCTGTATACGCTATGCACTGGCTTAAATCTAAGTAATACCTCTTGGTAAATCTAATTTGTATCTACAAAGTAAGCAGTTATTACCATAAATATCTGATTATAGGGTAACGTCCAGCAGTTAAGTGTAAGCGAAAGCTAAGTATTAGGAGGAAGGGTTCGGAGGGCCGATTACTGACGTATTTTAACGATAGAGTGTAAGCGGCGACGTATCGTTTTAGCAGAGGGTATTAAGGGCTTAGAGGGTGCTAAACGGGTAATACGGATAATCTTGCTAAGCCCGGGAGCTTCGAAAAGTTACATCGGTAGTTGGTTAATAGTAGTAAACTAAAGTAGTTCCTCCTCCTAGTACTCTTATAAAAAGAGGATTTCGACCGGAATAGTACTCTAAAACCTACGATTAATTAGTATTATATATGTAAGAGAAATAAGGTTATACCTTTGTTTTTAAAAACTGAGAAATCCCTAAGCCTCCTTTGCCCTGCCCTACCCGGATATAGTTTGTAGTACCTAAATGCTTCTTTATTGTAGAAGTCCCTTAGTAACCTTTCTTTATCGGAAGACTATTTATTGGATGCTCCAGAATTATACCGCATTGCTTATATATAACCTTGGGTATTCTGTTCTTGATTAATGCAACCTAATTGTATTCTTGCCAGATATTGCTACTTCGGTTTAAATCCCACACTACTTTGCTTTCCCGCCCAAAATTAGTCTTGATCTACTATTTTACCCAGTCGTTATGTACCATATTGTTATATAGTAGATATTCTTTTCTGCGATTAGGGCCAACGTATAGAAGTAAGTTAGGGATTAGTAGAGGGTCAACTAGGCGGAGAAAGTCTGGCTTGCTGTAAGGCTTAAGGGTATTGATAAGATATTGATTCTGGCTACCAGAAGATATAGTAGTATTCTGTAATAGGGTTAAGTAACCAAGAGTCTCTGTATTCCTATTATATAATAATAGGACAAAATTAGAATATTAACTTTAACTCTATAACATAATTACCATTAATTAATTAAGGATTTATAGTAAGGTAAGGGAGAAAGAAAACAGAAGAGAGAATACCTACACTAATAAAGAAAGAAAGAAAGAAAGAAAAAGAATTAGCTTATTGTATATAGATTAGTTGTAAAAGGAGATATATCAGAAGAAGATAGCCTATTATTCCTGCTGATTTGGTTCTAGTGTAGGTTAAACCCAGCAAAACCTAGTAGAACCTATTAATAACCTGTCAAAAATCTCTTCTAACCTATTCTAACCTATTCCAACCTATTCCGACCTATTAATAACCCATTTCAACCTATTGATAACCTATTCCGACCCATTGATAACTTATTTCGACCTATTGATAACCTATTCCGACCTATTGATAATCTATTCTGACCCATTAATAACCTATTCCGACCTATTAATAATCTATTCTAACCTATTAATAACCTATCCCGCCTTATTAGCTAGCTTTAATTACTATAGATCTAGAATTTTTATATCTTTTAGAGATATTTTAGCTGAAATAAATAGTTCGTATACTAAGTAGCCAAAGTATAAGACCTTTATATTTCAGCGGAAATATAAGATACTTAGCCTTTACATAAAAGATAAGTATTTTGTTTAAATAAGTAGCAACAAACTGTAGAGCTACTATCTTTAATTTATATTATCAGAGAGTATAGAGTTAGACAGGCGGTATCTATTAGGTTCTTATTAGCTGTAAAAAAGGAGGCGTATATATAGCGTAGTAACTAATAATATTAGTTCAGACGTACGAGGGGTGATCAGCGGTACGGACGAGCTTAGGGTTTAGTAAAATAGGGGGGCTGAGTAGCTTATATGTAGGATTTATACAGCTTATATATAGGATTTATACCTTAGAGAAGCAGCAGAGTATTTATATAGGGTATATGTCTTATAATTAGTATAGGTGTAAGTTTTACTATCACTAGCGTAAGTTTTAGGTTTACTAGCACAGTAACTAGTATAGTAGTAGGAGGAAAATAGGCCAAAGCGTTGTAAGCACTCGTCAATCCTCAGATTTTGGTTAAGCTACTTAAGCAGAGAGAGTCGATATTAAAGATCGTAGTAAGTTGGCTGTAGGTACAGAATAGGTTTAGGTAGTTAAGTTGGTCTTATACTAATTAGTCTCTGTATAGGAGAATTATAGATTATATAAGGAGAATATATAAACATTCGACTTATACTCAACTCAGAAGTTAAGATAGATACTTAGTAACAGTCTATAGAGAGTAGAAGCCTATAATATTTATATTAATTAGTTATATTAATTAGATATTTAAATTATCAGAGATTGATTAACCTTAGGCTACTTTTAATTCCGATAAAGATCAAATTTAAGTAAATTAATTTTAGTGGCTAAGTAGCAGCTTAAAAGTACACTGACTTATATCCATAGAAGATATATATCTTTGTCTTCTAAGTAAAAAATAGATATTAGCCTAAGGCTATACTTACATAAGGTAGTTATATAACTTAACTAGCCCGTCGGTAAGTTAAGGCTAGCGTAAGTTCGTCACCCGCATTATCTTCTCAAAACAACCATACGTCTTCAAAAAATAAAAATCAACACCTAGGACTCTACGATTAATCTTTTAGTAAGTATCTTTAAAATACTGCTCGATAATTCTCCTAGTCTTAAGGCTATTTACCTCAGTTAGATCTGACTTACTAATTTTAAACAGACATTATAGCGATCTATATATGTATTAATTTTAACATATTCCTAACCTTATTATTATCGTCAGTCTACCGCAAACTTTAATTAAATAAAAGATATCAGCTTTATAACAGTCAGCAGAATAACCATTCTAGTAAATAATCATTTAGTATATTTACTGTTATTCTTAAAAACTATACCTTTGGCCAAGTTCTGGCTAACATAGTTATTATAGGCGCGGCTGTCTTGGTTTTGATATCCCTGGCGTCGCTATCTCTGAGCCTCAGATTTCGGCTGAAATTAAAGGCCTGTCCTTGTTTATAAGGCCGCTGAGATCCTGCAACTAAACGTACCTTCTATATCAGATTCCTATTTAAGCATACCTTCCTTATATTCAAACCTCTAGGTTGCACATCGCTATATCTGAACCCTAGATTTCAGCTGAAATCAAAGGCTTAGCCTTGTTTACAAGGCCGCTGAGATTCCGCTGCTAGTTATGCCTTCCTTCTGTATCAGATTCCCGTTTAGGCGTACGTGCCTTCCTTATATTCAAACCTCTAGGTTGCACGTCGCTATATCTGAACCCTAGATTTCGGCTGAAATCAAAGGCTTAGCCTTATTTATAAGGCCGCTGAGATTCTGCTGCTAGTTATACCTTCCTGCTGTATCTGATTCCTGTTTAGGCGTGCCTTCCTAACATACAAACCTCTAGGTTAAACGTTGCTATATCTGAACCCTAGATTTCGGCTGAAATCAAAGGCTTGGCATTGTTTACAAGGCCGCTGAGATCCCGCTGCTGGTTGTGCCTTCCTTCTGTATCAGATTCCCGTTTAGGCGTATATGCCTTCCTTATATACAAACCTCTAGTTTGCGTGCCTGTCAACGGGCTAATTACAGCCCGGGGAGGATATCAGCTTTGATTATAGCTATTTCAAACTTAACTTCTTCAAACTTCTTCTCTTTTATCTTAGTTTCTTTCAACTGCTTACCTCGAAACTAATAGAACCTTTGATCCTTTGATAATACAACTCATTTAACTGCTACCTATACGATTCTTTGTTTACCTGCGGGTATTTGACCATAGCGCCAGATGTAGTAAACGAAGACAGACTTTGCTCACTTCTTAAGCGTTCTGTTTCTCTAAGCTATACTGTCTACGATATAGATAACCCTGATATTGAGGACAACCTAAGCTACAACCTAAGCCGCAACCTAAGCCGTAACCTAAGCCATACTGTAGAGATAACCCTATAATTCTGCAAGCCTAAGGGTTCTACTACTTCTTCTGCTCTAGTGTTAAAGAGTGCCTTGATTTCTAATTCAGCTAAAATCTAAGGTAGCTTTACAGTAGAGGAACGTACCTTTCGGACTACGTCCGACTTCACCGAATGGCTTATAACTTTGCCGAAAACGGAGGTATATCGAATTCTTAATAATTACTATGATATTGCCTTTGAGTAAATTAACCTTATCGAACAGATCCTCTGTAATCTCTATCTCTGGGCCTAGTAAAACCAGGTCTATAAGGGTACCTATAATCTTACTGAATTCGAGGCAAAGTAGGTATTGGTTACTAAGATAGCCCTTAAGTGCGCTAAAGATACGAAGACTATCCAGTCTATTCAGAATAAGGCCGTATCTAACTAGGGAACCGACGTACAGCGCCTTTTTACTTATCTCTGCAACAAAGGTATATTCGACTAAGTAAACAAGATGCTTCGGTAAGGTCTAACATTTGACTAAGTTCGCAATGTAATTAACAATTCAATGGTTAAACGTCTTGGTGTATTAGGCAAAGGTTCCTGCAGCCAGAGGCGTATTATCCTAGGTAATCTTAAAAAGGTTACTAAGCTTTGTGAGTTCCGGAGACCTAAGGCTAAAGATATTCGTACCTCTAATCTTAACCTTACTTAGGATGGCTTTTGCTACAAGCGAGGAAGTAGTATTACTCTAATAGATTATAACGATAAACCTACTGGTGATAATCCTAACGATACTACTACTGCCGATCTAGATTGTGATTAAGTTCAAACTATCTCGCTATCACTACAACCTTCTCCTCCTGATACCGATATACCGGATGCAGATAACGTTCTTACCCTTGGTCTGCCAGAGGATATTCTAATAGAAGATATACCTCCTCCTACTGACGCTCCAGTGCCTAAAGCTTAACCAAACCAGGCTACCTTACCTCGGACACGCAGATTACCAACTGATTATATATGTGCTATTTGCTGTACTAGCATAAACCGTATAATTCAGATAGCTTCTAAGCTTAGTACTCTTTGTGCTTGTCTTATTTTGCTCTGTTCTTTCAGAAAAATAATCTACATACGTAGTGAGATTAATGAGCAGAGTCTGTGCCAGGAGTATACCTTAAAGCTGTTTGAGCTCTTTTAAATAAACTCAGTAAGCAAAAGCCATAAGCAGTTGGCTAGCCGAATTAATTTCTTATATCAGAATCTTAATGGCTTTGACGATGTGCTGAAGAACAAGGCGGCCTGGTTTCTGCTGAAACCTAAGCCTACTGATAATAACCAACGTGGTTTTTATCGCTAGGCACCTAAGCCTACTGTAGCTATTCCCCTGATTACAGACTTCGCAAAATGCGAAAAAGAATAGCTACACCCGCTGGAGTTTGTGCACTGCGTTCTTCCTGATCTTAGACCTGCTGCCCAGAAAATTTTAGCAAACAGGCTACCTTAAGACTTAAAGGAAAACGGTTCTATTGTGATTCCTGGGCTTTTTAGCTATCTTTCGACAAACTGGGACGGCCAGTATCCTGATGGTATTATGCCTCTAATTTACAAAGAGATTCAGATGTATGAATACTATTTCCGGCCTTAACCAAACCGTCTGTGCCTTGGTTGGAATTACGTTATATAGCACAGTCTAGGCCAGCAACTGATTCGTTAGGATCTTAGCTATTATATAAGCTATATCTTTTTTCGTCCGGATTATGCCTATCGCCTGGTATTATTTCCTTACTACTGTAAGAGTACGTAGGCTGGCGAAAAAAACCTTCTTCTGCCATATCGATATTAATATCGATAATTATATCTAAACTGGCCGTAGGCAGAGTATTCTCTAAGGCTCTGTCTTACTCATAAACGAGGATACCTAAAACTGTACTGAGATTCTACCTAAGATGCATAATTATATTAGTACCTAGTGGACAGATGTCAAAGCTTACCGGATTGCAGTAGGCAAAGAGCCTAAGAACGGGTTGGTCTAAGGTATCGATGCTACTATGTGGACAGCAGACGATGCTTAG